TATTGAGGAAATGCCTTGGAGCTGAATCTCATCGAGGCATTTCCTCAGCTGAAGCTCATTCATCTGATGACTCTAGCATGTGTCAAGTTGACACAAGAAACCCAGATATATACCTGACCACTTGTAAATAGACACACAAACACATGACTATTAAGCCACATCCAATCCTTTCTTATTCATCACCAACATCTTAAATAACTTGAAAAGTCTCACAATCTTTACAAATTCAATACTTAAAATTTTGTTCCTTTAAAAAAAACCCATCTCTTTAAATCCAAAGTCTTTTTAAATTAAAAGTCTCTCAAGTACGGGCTCCAGTAAAATAACTTCAATAGGGAGGAATCAGGACAAAGTCTGGATAAAATCAAGGCAAAATGAAAATTGGAACCCTCCAATATCTGGGATCCATTCACATTGTACTATAATCTCCAAAGGGCTGGGGTCACTCCTCTAGCTCTGACCTCCACAGTACACACAGCTCATTTTCTAGACTCTGACTGGCTCCTCTCCACAACTACTGTTGTTCTTGGTGCTCATTCCCCTGCACTGGTATCTCCAAGCCGTGGGGCTTCTCTGCTGCAACTGGGCTACACTTTCACCAAATCCTCAGATAGGCTCTCCTCATCATGCCAAGCCTTGAATCCTTTGCAAGACCCCTTCAGCCCTGAGGCTTCAAATGCCATTAAAGGTGCACCATAACCAATGGCCTCTGCTTTCCTCTCACAGTGTCAATTCTCTCCTGATCTTCATGACCCCTTCATACCTTCAAAACCAGTACCACCTGGGTCACTCATTCACATTACCAAGTCAGGATGCCCACCATGAGCAACCCTGTCTGCCTCTAGAACACAGCTTCTCTGTGATCTCAAGAAATACTTCCAGGCAGATTTCACCTCAGTGATGCTGGTCTCATCCTAATATCTGCTAGTATCTTACATCCAGGTGACCAGCTTCTATTCCCAGTACCATAAAGGCAGTAATTCTGGTATCTAGTTAATCACCACTGATTCTTCAGCTCTAGCTAACCCCAACCACAGGATTGCTTTAGTAGTCCTGGTATCTTGTTAATCACCAATGATTCTTCAGAACAGGCTACCCAGAAACACAGGATTGCTTTAGCAATTCTGGTATCTTGTTGATCACAGTTGATTTCTCAGCTTCAGCTAAACAGAACCACATGTTCTTAATTCCAAAATGGAAAATGGCCCTTATTTTCTTTAAACTTCCCTCTGATATTTTACAAGCCAGTCAGGCCTGCATCTTCTGCACTTCTCTCAATATTCTTATCTTCCAAGTTCACACAATATATCTCACTGAGGTCTCTCAACACTCAGTAGCTCTTCTAATCCAAAGTTCCAATGTCCTCCACAATCCTCCCAAAAACATGGTCAGGTCTATCACAACAATACCCCACTACACTGGTTTTATTTGGTCTTAGTTAGGGTTTCTATTGCTGTGACAAAGCACCATGAACAAAAGACAAGTTGGCGAGTAAAGGGTTTATTTGGTTTACTCTACAGAATTGCTGTTCATTAATGAAGGAAGTTGGGATAGGTACTCAGACAGAACAGGCTCCTGAAGGCAGGGGATGATGGAGAGGCCATGGAGGGTGCTGCTTACTGACTTGCTACCCATGCCTTGCTCTGCCCACCTTATTATTGACCCCAGGACCAGCAGCCCAGTGAAGGCACAACCTACCATGGGCTGGGCCTTTCCCCTTGATCACTAATTGAGAAAATGACTTACAGTTGGATTTCATGAAGGCATTCCCTCAACTGAGGTTCCTTCCTCTGATGACTCTAACTTTTGTCAAGTTGACACACAAAATCAGGGGACACACAGGGAAATGAAGAAGGAAACATGGCATTCTCATGGTCCTGTATTTGATACTATTCTGCTAAAAAAATCTCCTACAGATTCATTGGCTTTTCTTATGAACATACATGAATTTTATAGGTACATCATCACAGCATTCATACCACTTTGGTATTCCTAGTTCATTGTTCAGAATCCTTCTGGATTTTGTGAAGGCTGATTTTGATTGAATGCCTGTTTATAAACAAATGTCCATTCCAACTTAAATGTTGTTAGCATCTCAACTATGAGCTAAGCATCAGGCTGACTGTCTAATATCAGTGTCATTTTCACCACATTTATGGGTTCGGGATGGCTTGTCACTTGGAGGAGTAAGGATTGGTTAACTTTCAGAGAGTTTTACAATGTACTTGGAAGGAAAGTGATTTTGGTTGTGTACATGTTATGGTTAAAGTGGCCAGGACAGCTCTCCTGTTTTGCAAAGGGTTCATACATTAGGTCTGAAATGTAAAGGTCACCAAACTACACTTATGAGCTGAAAAGCAGAAGTGAAAACTAAGTTCCCAAAATGAAGAAGGATCTGTGTTCAAGGAAGGAGGCTAACATTGTGCATCCTTTGACCTACACTTGTGAAGGGTCATTGCAGGGAGACTTCCTCCTCCATGGTTGGTGGGGTAGGGTCAGGGCTCCAAAAGATTTTTAATAGCTATACCCTATCTGCAGATGGGTACTGGGAAAACTGATCCTACCATCTGTTGCCCACATTGACAGCAAAATATATTAACTCAATCTTTCCCCACAGGCATGTTATCTCATATGTAGGTATCAGTTTCAGTTTGAAAGTCAGAGTGAACCCTTCCCTGGGAGCAGCATAGAATGTAGCTCATACAGATACTTTCAGGTATTATTTCCATCACTAGTTGTACTTATTGACCATGAAAATACCAAACTCAAGCTTTGCTTTTACCTTCAATATGTATCAGGTTCATTTTCAGTTTCTATAGCTTGACAATTGACACTGTATCATTATAAAGAAATGTGGTTCGCTTAGCTGGTAATCTTGAAGATGTAAATCCAGTACTAAGCAACCTGACCTTTTCATCCTCTGATGTGGATGTTGTTTGCTGTGTCACAGAATGCTAGAGGACCTGAAAGGAAATGCCCAGGGAAAGAAAGGAAAGACTGCATTGTGGACATTGAATTGTGTACTAGTATATTCCTGTAGGAATTCATCATGGTCTAAGGGAGATAAATCAGTCATGTAGGAGGGTGTTAGTCACATGTATATAATTTTCTTTTAATTTAGGTATGATGTTAAAGATCTGTCCAAAATAGAGAGGCTCATGATGCACAATGTGGTTTGTGATGACGTATAGTAAAGGAAAATATCACATGAGACTGAGGAAAATCATAAGGTTTACATAGGTGAGGACCTAAATCTCACTGGTGGGACTAGATGCTCCCCCATATCATGGGCTTAGAATAAATGAATCACAAATCTTCAAAGATCCACAAAAAGTAGCGGGTAAGAGTCGGAGTGTAGTGGTAGAAGAGATCTTCACCCCAACACTTGAGATCTTTCCTGCACCTAAAACACATTAGCATGCTTGATCTTTT